TGTTCTTAGTTTACGTTTGTTTCTTTATCGTGATGATGAGGTTTATTTTCCAATTGCTGTTTTAGCGTTTTTTCCCCCTGCTATATCGCATCAAACCAGCAGATGGCAGTCAGGTTGTTTTTCTTCTAGGTGCAAAGGTCTATAGAGAATCTATTTCCCTTTTTTCCCCCCTCTTTATTTTAGTCAAGTTTAATAACTAAACTGAAATTAAGCTAAAACTAAACTAGCAAAAAAACAAAACAAAGAAACAAAAAAAAAAATAAAATCAAACTAAACATTGTATTTGCTGGTAGAGATCGTCCGATTCTGTTTTTTCAAGGCCGACGCTGATACCGATTATTTTGACGTCAGTGTAAGCTAGGGGTGTAAATCACACCCATCATGGCGATTCGATTCAGTATCAATTTCCTGACCCAACGATTTGATTATTTTAGATACTCAAGAATACACCACGATACGATTCAATTCGATTCATTGGTACATTTTTTTTTTAACAGGCTGGACAATGTTTCAAATTTGAAATAAATCAATGAAAGCTGAAATATCGTTCTGCATTTTCTTTGAGAAACAACAGCAAATAACAGAAGTAGCCAAGTTGTTCTCCACGTAGGCCTATGAAAACCTCATTCACTGAAAAATAATAATGCCTCTGTGTTTCCACGAGTATGTTTGAGAGGGTAGTGGCTAAAGTAAGCGAGGTAGAAGGGCAAAATAGGTTTGGGCCACTGCAGCACTGGAGTCAGAATTACGTCCAGGAGCAAATGGATAAAAATAGACTGGAAGGGGAAAAAATCGTTGCAGACGTGTCGATGTATTGGATCATCGGCTGTTGGATCGATTTATCGATACAAAACGATTATTATCTACACCCTTAGTGTAAGCTAGTGTGACCAAATGACATCTTTTGCCCGAACATGTCCATTTTTTAAATTCTGTCTGGTGTGTCTGCAGGGGGATTATAAATTCATGAAAATGTTCGGTTTTCACAGTTTTTAATGGGACCATAATCGTACCCTTAAATCAACTGGTGCTTTGCACAGAATACTACGGTACTTTGTTGCCTGACGTGATTCTCGAGGGACTGCCTTGTGGGAGGGTCTAGCGAGAGCCCCACACACACAGGTAGCAGAGCAACCAGCATTGGACACAAAATGCCGAAACAAAAGTGCAGCTTCACAGATGAACTGCAAAAAAACTTTAGCGACAAGTGGGAGGCTGAGTGCACATGAACAAAGCAGGCACGTGTGTTTCATTATCTAATAAAGGTGATGAGATCTGGATATCAAAATATGGTCACCCTAGTGTAACCGATCCCTAGTAAATGCTACCTGATTAATTTAGAACTGATTTTTGAAGCAGGTGTTGCTTTTCCTTCCTTCCTTGTTTTAAAAGAACAACAACACAAAATGATAACAAATGGGAGAGAAGTCTCAATTCAAACAATAAAATAAACATTTATTACTAAATGAAAATAAAAGAAAATTTAGGTTATACATGGACGCCACTTGATCTCAAGGATTGCTGCTGATGCACTACTAACTACTAACTAATTTAAAGACAATTACAAGGCCGGCTTTCTATCACCTGAAGAACATTTCCAGGATTAAAGGACTAATGTCTCAGCATGATCTGGAAAAACTAATCCATGCGTTTATTTTTAGTCGAATTGATTACTGCAACTGTCATGAATCGCGGACAGATGGACCCAGTATTCAGGAGAGACAGTCAGTAGGAAAATTCAAAAGATTTATTAAAATAAAA